CATTAAGAATGAACAGCAATCTTTTCAAGATGGGTGGTGACCATAATGGACATTTTGAAGTCGGCCATTTTGGATCCAACTTTAGTTTCTTCAATGGGAAGAGGGTCATGTGACACATCAAACTTATTGAGAATTTCACAAGAAAAACAATGGCATGCTTGGTTTTAACGTAATTTTATTCTTGAGTTATTTACAAGTTTCTGATCACTTATAAAATGTGTTGGATTGTCARTGCAACCCTCTTCTTCCACTCTTCCCACACTGATAGCAACACTGCAGAATAAATGCTAGCACATTGTGAAATTCTCAATAAGTTTGATGTGTCACAGGACCCTCTACCCWTTGAAGAAACTAAAGTTGGATCCAAAATGGCYGACTTCCAAATGGCCGCCATGGTCACCAYCCATCTYGAAAAGTTTYCCCCTCCCAAATACTAACGTGCCACAAACAGGAAGTTAATATCACCAMCCATTCCCATTTTATTTAGGTGTATCCATACAAATGGTCCACATTGTAGAACATTTAAATATATAAAAACAAAAACAAACAATCTTAAGTTAAGATTGATGTTGATACAAGAAAAAAAACACTAATATCGGTTGGCTAATGTATCGGTCGACCTCTACCATATATGTCTATGTCAACCAGAAAGAACTTAAAGTGTACACACAAAAACATCAAAATTAGCACAGAAACTGTACTATATAACATTTTAGACACATTCTAGACAGTTTGTCAGCTAAAAAAAGTTTATTTTGAGGTAAATTACTCTTTAAGGTAAAACTAGTAGAACACTGGAAGTTTGGACTTAAGAAATGAATGAACCAATTGGCAGGCCAGTTGAATAATCCTGATCTAAAATGAATTGTGGAATATTTTAAAAGCCTGAAAAGTTCATTTTAGGACATGTGGTAAACAACGCATTTTTTTAAGAAATATTATTTATCTGCTAAAACGTTCACCACCTTATTAGTTGAAAAAAGTTGTGTGAATTTGTGCATTTTAATAAGTCACTTACCTTTGATGAGTTTAAAGTTTGTTTACCCAGCTTTATGAAATAAAATAACTCCTCCTCTCCTGTCACTCAGTCTTTAGTTCAAAACTCCAGGAAGGCAGGCATCACGTCAGCTCTGACATCCAGCACCCTGCACAACGAAGAACTGGTCAGTTCTCTCATATCATCCAGAAGAGTCAATCTGTAGTCCAGCAGCAATGTGACCCAATCTTTGTGTATCTTTATAGAAAAGTCACGTCTATAAGAAGACCCTCCAAGCCTTGATATATCCCATCTCCTGCACAACCCCGCACAACTTTGAGGTGTGGACAGCCACCACGCCCACCTACTGCTACGAGTGTGAGGGGCTGCTGTGGGGAATCGCTCGCCAAGGCATGCGCTGCACTGAATGTGGGGTCAAGTGCCATGAAAAGTGCCAAGATCTGCTCAACGCCGACTGTCTGCAGAGTAAGGAAACACGGATCGGTTTAGAAACTGCAGRAATAATGTGATGAAACACACAGCGTTACCTGAACAACTCAGTAAAGGTCAAATAAGAACCAAATTCTATTTCTCACKCAAACAGGTTTTTGTTATTAAATTTTTTTAACATCAGGTATTTTGGTGTCATTAAACATTAAGGACGTTGGTTAATGTACTTTAATTTATTTCTCATTTGATAAAGCCCAAACTGCCTTTATTTTTGTCTGTTACAAAAAGTTTTTTTAAATCTTACTCATAGCTATAAAACAAACTAAAAATTGCTTTTTTAGCTTAAGTTAGCATCTTTCATCTAATTAGCCTCACGTGTCTATTAGTGGGCTACTGTTTGCAATTGGTTTCTTACTAATTAAACAATAAGCTTTTAATAGCTAACACTGATTTTTTTGAATCATTTTAAACTATTCTTAGTTCTGTTAATGCTTGTTGAGCTCCAAATGACTCTTATTAACATAGTATTTCATCACGTATATATWTTTTGATAAACTGTCTTTAAAATTAGCTTTTTTTGCTGTATTTCAAAGGAAATTTTGATCTTGCTCTATTTAAGTTCATGTTTGTTGAGAAGAAATGTTTTATTGCTAAAGAGTGTAGATTGTAGTAGTTTATCCATTTTGAAAGCAAAGCAGTCATTCATCTCAGCTCTGTTCTTTTTAGTTTTATTTCTTGGTTGGATATTAAAAACTATTTGTCTTTTGTTGTTATTATCCTTGCTCTTTTTTATCTTTTCATTGACAGTATTTCATTGTTGAATGGTCTATTTACTTTAAATTCATAAAATATATTAAAGCTTTTAATCATCTAGATTTTAAAAATTTGTCTTAGTCCCCAACAGTATATGAATATATCCTCATTGATCGAATATTAAATTATCATTCGTTACATAACCACAATATTATCTCCCATGTATCTGCCTCTGTTTGAGTTAAGAACATTTTTGTTTGTGTCTCCGCCCTACCAGGAGCAGCAGAGAAGAGCTCCAAACATGGAGCTGAGGACCGGACTCAGAACATCATCATGGTCCTCAAAGATCGTATGAAGATCCGCGAGAGGAACAAACCGGAGATCTTTGAACTCATTCAGGAAGTCTTTGCTGTCCTCAAGTCCACCCACGTCACCCAGATGAAGCAGATTAAACAGAGTGTCCTGGATGGAACCTCTAAATGGTCAGCCAAGATCTGCATCACAGGTGAGAGGGGCGTCACTCTCGGGTCAGTACAGCCGATTTGATGGGACCTGGCCAATATGGTCAGCGTCAACATCAGAAGAGATAGCATGTGTCGGGTGTTGGCGTCTATAAAAAGAGACGCAGGTGGAGCAGTAGAGCAGAAAGTCACGTGACAAATCTGTTTTCATCTTTTTTCCTCTTTCCAGTGTTGTGTGCTCAGGGTTTACAAGCTAAGGACAAAACTGGTTCCAGTGATCCGTATGTCACAGTCCAGGTGGGAAAGACAAAAAAGAGGACCAAAACCATCTACGGCAACCTGAACCCCGTCTGGGAGGAAACGTTCAATTTGTGAGCCACCAATGTTTTCATAAAGCATTAAGTAAAAATAAATTTAAAGCAGCAAATATCAATTTTAAGAAACATGTGTAGTTTTTTCTATATACAGTA